AAAAAAAAAAAAAACTCCAAAAATAGCCACTAAATCATTAGTTTTGCAAGGTCGATTGAGGTTGCAAGTTGAGATTTGCCGCTCGAATTTTTTCTGGTCCGAAGGGTCCAGTTGAGAGCTATCCGATCATTGAGTAGTTGTAATTTGAATCCACAATCATCAATACAAAGGTTCAGTTCTCTTTCTATTTCTTTTTTCTCATTAATGTTTTGGGTCACTTTGTTTTAATTTAACTTTGAGTATGATATGATCGAGTTCGCATCTGAGTGTGCTAAGATTAATTTGTTCTCATATTGAATATTTGTTAAGATTAATTTATTGTCCTTTTTTGTAGTTCATACGGTTAATTTTATTGATGAATATGTATTAATTCGTTACTTTTCTTGTTTATTCAATGAAGTAATGACTTTCCATTTTAGTATGCTTTAGTTTCATTTTGATCTCCTATCTTAGTGACTAAATTGATCATGCCTGTATCTATCTTTTCCTGCCATAAATTTAGTCTAATTTCAAATATTGGTTAGCAGTAAAATTATAAGAGATTAGGTTGGGCCATGATTGGTGTAACACTTTAATTGAACTTCCCTAGCGTATTTATAGGCTAATTGTTGCACATGATCAAAAACAAATAAATATTCACAAGCTAGCCAACTTTTTCCATAATTAATTTACTTCATTTCCTCCATAACAATATACATACCTCATCACCTTACAATAATATCAAAATTAGTAATTGAATAATATTCGAATACCGTAGCTTGATTTAGGCGCGATTAATAATAAATCACCGTAACTATAGGTACGGTTCCTATGGCATAGTCATGATACGTAAACCCCAATTCAAGTGCGTGTTTCACGCGACTTGACCATAACTTCAAATAATAATAAAAATAAATATGTTGTAAATCGTGGGTGCGTTTCACGTGGCGTGGTTTGCAATGTGTACCAAAACGACAAGTGTGCGACATCGCGACTTGTTCAAATAAATTTCATAAATATTAAAAAGCGGTAAAAGACAAAAATGCACAATGGATTTAAAACATGTAATAAATCAGATAATTACGTCAAGTATTAATTGTTAAGCGACTGTGCTAAAATCACAGAACTCGGGAGTGCCTCACACCTTCTCCCAGGTTAACAGAATTCCTTACCCGGTCTTCTGTGTTCGCAGACCAAAAATAAGAGTCAAATTTCCTCTATTTGGGATTCTAAAATAAATCGGTGACTTGGGACACCATAAATTATTCCAAGTGGCGACTCTGAATAAATAAATAATCTCATTTCGAATAATGTCACTTAAATTGGAAAAACTCACTATCCTCTCGAGAAAAAGGAGGTGTGACATATCCTATAGCAGGGTGAACTTTCTAAGAGATTAAAAGGTTTAATTTTTCTACTTTATATTATTTGTGATAAATGTATTTATTTTTTTCGTTTGTATTCATTTTCGGTACTAGAGTATAAAAATAACAACAATTTTAACATCATATTCCTATAAAACTGAGAATTTTCATGTGGTAAGATTTTATGCTTCATTGGGCTAGCTAAATAGAATCAACAAACATATTTTTAGAAAGTTACACTTTTTTTATAGTCGAAACACATCGTTTAATACTATTTATATGATTTTTTTTAAAAATTGTTTACTCATTGATACAAGAAACACACGAAATTAAACAAAATTGTCCTGTACCTATTTTTCTAACATGTAAGAGCCTGAAATATCTCAAAATAGACATTTGAACGACAATTAAGTGTTGTCATTTGAATGACTGTGCTCTTTATCTTAAAAAGCTTTTCAAAAGTCTTTTGTTAACATATAAGATTTTGTTTCATGCATTGGACTTGGTGCTTTCATTTCTGACTTAATGTATAAATTTTGTACAAGTTATTTGGACTATTATAATTCATAATAAAAAAAAAAGTTAGGCTTTAATCTAAGTTTGTACCCTTTTTTATTTACATCTTTAATTGTAAGTATTATATTTTTATGTTGAACACAATTTAATTCGTTCTTGGAAAGTGTCAAGTTCATTTAATTCCACGTAAGAAAAGCACCATCCTTACTTCCCTATAAAATTATTTTTAATGTGAATTTTTCTTCGAAATTAAAAATATTATAACTCAAACAATTATTTATGGATGAACATATATCATTATAACATTGGCATATCCTCTTATCTCTCAATTATGTATTGTTTCTTCAAAATAACATATAAAATACTATTATTTTAGGATGAACAATATATAAACTAAAGCATATTCTTAGTTTGAAAATTGATGTTGATTATAAATTTGGTGATATTTGAAAACAAAAGTAGAATTTGAAGCTAAGCTGAAAATATTTATTCAAAAACCATGTTCAAACTTATCATTTTGAGTTGTTTCCTAAAAAAAAGAGATTAAAAATTATATACGAACTGAAATATTATTATGAACAATGTTAATACAAGTTAATACATTATGCCTACATTGCTTGGACTTCTAAACCAATAACAACCCATGTATAAGAATTACTATAATACATATGAGGAGTTCTTTATAAAATTAGCCAAATAGAATCAATATTCATTATTTTTAGGAACTTACACTATTATTTAAAATTATATTTTTAATTTTAAATATTTTTAATAATATTTATGAGATTTTCAAGAAGTCTTTACTCATGACTCGGGATACACGCGCAATATAAGCGTACTCTAAAACTATTACATTTAAAATCCATCAAAGGCAAAAATATTATAGTAGTAGATTTAAAGTGTACATACTGTCCCCAATTAAACTCTAAAACCTAAGACTACAGACACAATCGATTGACACAATCTTAATAATTAGTTGGGAATCTAAAGCCTTTACTCTTGAATCAATTAATCTGAGTTAAACACTTTGTCTTGGTCTCACATTGAGATTAGAAAGGTAAAAACACTTTTTCGTTTAATAAATCCTACCCTACGTGAATTTAGATTAATCGTTCAGTTGATTTTCGATACCAATTAACTTTTATACATTAACGATATAAATAATTTTTACACTATTTAAAACCGTTTATAATAAGTAAAGTTAATAACCTAACAGTTAAGATATATAAATTCTTACAACAATTTAAAATATACTGTAAAAGAAGTATGCTACTGTATATAAGTTAAAGCCTATAATTTGTACCTCTTTCGAAGTTAATAACCCCACGCTTGCGTCTCTCCCCCCCCCCCCCCCCCCCAAAAAAAATAAAGAAGAAGAAAATCCTGCGGCTTCATTCCTCTATTTAAGTGTATGTCTGTATTCTATATCTATACACTTGTCTACCTGTTCTTTTCATCTTCATTCTTCTCTTATGACTTTCTCAAACCATTGATTCTCATTTTTCTTCCCAAAGAAAAAGAAACAACACATAAAACACAAAAGATGGCAGCAGCTACAATTTCTACCATTTCAATGATCGACTCCAACAAAATGGAAGTTGACAAACTCACGTACGAAATATTTTCCATTCTTGAAAACAAATTCCTCTTTGGCTACAATGACCCAAAACTTTCTCCTGCATGCAAACAAAACAGTAATAATATGTTAACACCCTTTGCCGGAACAAAAACTGTCGGCGCCGGAAAAATCAGAATTCTCTCAATTGACAGCGGTGGCTCCACTAATGGCATTCTAGCAGCAAAATCTTTAGCCCATTTGGAAGCAACCCTTCGTCGTAAAACCGGATTGAACAATACCCACATTGCCGATTTCTTCGATGTTGTCGCCGGTTCCGGAGCCGGCGGTGTCCTCGCCGGTCTTCTCTTCACTCGTGGGAAAGATGGGGTTCCGATGTTCACTGCAGAGGAAGCTCTTAAATTCCTTCTCGAGAGTGATCGGAAAATTTCACGGTGTTCTAACCGTGGATTGTTTCGGCGTGTTTTCCGGCCGGCGAAGATGTTTGATAAATTATTCAGCGGTTTAACTTTAAAAGATACGGTTAAGTCGGTTTTAATCCCCTGCTACGATCTAACTACAAGATCACCGTTTCTATTTTCGCGGGCTGATGCGCTGGAGATGGACGGTTGTGATTTTAAGTTGGCGAATGTATGTGAGGCCACAGTGGCTGATCAAGCGGTGGAAGTGAAGTCAGTTGATGGAAGAAGGAAAATTACAGCCGTTGGTGGTGGGGTTACGATGAATAATCCAACGGCTGCGGCTATCACTCATGTACTTAACAATAAACAAGAGTTTCCGTTTGCTAATGGTGTTGAAGATTTGTTAGTGGTTTCTTTGGGTAATGGAGAATCAGATTCCGGTACCGGAAATGTGATGTCATCGCCGGCGGCATTTGTTAAGATTGCCGGAGATGGAGCTGCCGACATGGTAAGCTTATTTTTTTGTTCATGCCCAAAATATTTTAATATTTTTAAACAAAGAAAGAAAAAAAGTTGAATAATTTATATTTATAATAATTAAAATTGCTTTCGTTAGAATAGTTCGTAATTATGGAAGTTGGTACTTTGCATTTAATGAATTTTATTTTTAAAAACTCTTCCTTTTTTTGGCATGCGACCTAGTATTTATAACTCAGTGGCAACAAACAAAAAGTTGTACATATTAAATGGTCGACAACTTCTTTTGATCAAATAGTGCACCTAACGATATACTAGTATATATATTAAGAACTTTAATTTGGAATCTTAACTAAATAATCGAACAATAAATTATCTAAACAAAATATTGGACTAAGACTAATGTATTTAATTACTTTATCTAAACAAAATATCGGACTAAGACTAATGTTGTAACCCTATACAAAATGCAGGTAGATCAAGCTGTATCAATGGCATTTGGACAATTTAGAAACAATAACTATGTTCGAGTACAGGGAAATGGAATTATTGGGGAAAAACACGAATCAACGAGCAAAGGTGAAAGAATGAGAAAGACAGTAGCCATATCTGAAGAAATGCTAAGGCAGAAGAATGTGGAATCTGTGTTATTTGAAGGGAAGAAATTAGTGGAAAATACAAATTTGGATAAGTTGGAAATATTTGCTGGTGAATTAATCAAAGAGCAAGAAAGTAGGAAAACTAGAATATTACCCCCAGTGGTTTTGAAACAGGCATCACCATCTCCTAGAACATCATCTGCAACAACTTCATCCACCATTTCCTCATTTTAATAAAGCTCCCGCTATGCGCGGGGTCCGGGTATCATGATTATTAGATCGATTTTAATCGATAGCTTGGAGGTGACACTGTCCATTATTATTAATTAGGTTAGATTATTATAGCGAGGTAAGGTAGGGTGGGTTAAGTTGAATCAATGCTGAAGTATGGGTTTGAAGCCACTCGTGATTATTTCAGATATCCGAGTTTGAGCTGAGCTGCTAAAATAGCCTGAGAAGTTTTCTTTTTCTATATATTTTTTTTAAAATCTTGAGGTTGATTTGTAGTAAAATGTATGTAGAGATGAATATTGGTGAATTAATGTGTGTATGTATGTGATGTTAATATTATGAATGTATTGCTTGTTAGACCAATGAGAAGCACTTGGTAAATTGTAAATTTTATGTTACCAACACTAGTTGCTTGTAATGATCATTTATCCCAATTGAGTTGTGTGTTAACTTCCTAAATTTAACTCCCTTTTTTTGTTTAGAATCAAACATACAACAACTACTACAACATCTTAATTTCAAACAAGTTTCAAACAAGTTGGAGCCGACTACATTCCGATGAGAATGAGTTGAGTTTAGATAAGAAGAAGTAACATTTTTTTCATATAAAAAGAATTTAGAAATTTTAAAGTAAAAGGTTTGAAGGAAGCATTGAGTAGGTCAGTTCAGTAATAATATTGGAAGCATGGAACATCTTAATTATCTTAATTACTTGATCTAATTATGTTAGTATTCTATATTTACTGTCCCCACTACAAATTTAATATGTACATGAGTCGAGTCATCATACTTCTGTGTAACATAAATATGCAGAGAGATTTAAATATACACGGGTAGTGTACAAGTTTTTCTAGACTAACTCCGTCGATTTAATCTATTGTTCCAAATTATTTAACAAGTTTATTAGATTACCAATTAATGTCCTAATAGTATAATTTTGTTTTACAACATCAGTGCATAGACATGCTACACAGTGATTACCCAGCAAAATTAATTAGCCAAACATAATGATTCTCACCAAAGTAATTTTGAAAAAATCACTTCTCAAAATAAGCTATAAGTCAAAATAGATTGTCCCACACAAACACTTGGTCCATGGAATAATTTGACCAAATGTTATCCTACTAGAGGAATGATTTAGGACACCTGTTACTATTTTCACTGCCACATCCCAAGGTAAGAAATGACCAGTTACGCCAAAAGCTTTGTAGTTTTGCTTCGCATTGGCTAACTGGGAATAATGAAATTGGCCATCTTATTGCAGGGGAAGGGCAGGACATCTCTTTTGATTTCTCCCATAGAAAAGCCTAACATGCAGCAGCAAGAATCGATAGATTATGGAATAAATACACCCTTCCAATTTTAAGGTACAAATATGTTAAGCAATCCACCATTTCTTAGCCTTAATTATCAAAACTAAAATATTATGTCGTTGACGCAATTGGTGTTTACTAGCCCGAGCTTGCAGGCCCCCCTAGCTCGTCTGTTTCTTTCGCATTACAGAGTTGTACAACACAATGATTTTTACATGAAAAATGAGAACTGACTTGAGAAGGCAATCCCCAACAGGACCAGCTGAATTCATCCTCCATCTCTCTTCAAATACAAGAGACTACAATAATTGACAACTCGGCGGTCCATGTCAGCAGACAGTTCGACCATAGCAAATTGATGCAATGTAAAGATTTTTAGACCATTTTTCCTGCAAAATGAGAGTGCAGGCAATGTTGAAACTACAAAGGGAAAAGAATTAAAGAGTACATGGATAACAAATATGCAAATTGCATTCAACGGACTCCTGTCAATTGAAGCTTCATTATTACAAACATTTGTTTCATACAATTTTCACAGCCTTGAGAATTTAAATTTATTTTTAAAAACTTTGATGTGATATTTACTCTATTAAACTAACTTTTTAACCATTACTTTAATATTTTCTCCCGCGGCTAATACAATAAACAAGCAACAAAACAACTTAAATTCCATTTCCAGCCAAGGAAACATCATAGAAACTGGATCACAATGAGTAGTTTGTAAATTCCCATCACAAGTTGAGCCTGTTAAATTTAAGGAAAACGCAAAGCAAACAGGAAACATTTGGGATTAAGGAAAGACTAGTCACCTTAACATGGGTACTTGGGAAGGCAGATGTCCGCAAAGTCTCTTGAGTCTCATCAATCATTTTACGTCTAGGCACGCTCAATATGAAGGCTGCTTGATCGGCAGTAGCAGCCATAGAAGTTATTCTATAACCACTTTCCCACCGTCGATGTATTCCTTCACTTGGGTAAAGGAAGTCAAGCTCAACAACCTACACAGTCAATCTGCTTTAAGCTACTATTGTTGAGCAAAGTAAGAAATGGAAGTGATGACAGAATAAAAACTACTTCCACCTGTTCTGAATATCCAGAATTTCGGGACATGACCACACCCCATCGACTGCCAGCAGTGGTCATGGATGTGACATGGAAACCTTCTTTCCACTTTTTGTTTATCCATTTGAAAGGGAAAGATTCACTCACTTTGTAAGACTGTTGCGTATAAGGAGTTCCTGATCCATCAAACACCAAGAGAATTTAATAGATTGTTCATGGGACCATTAACAATAAATCATAATCAAATTGATTCACAGCAAGTCCATTCCTGGTAAACAATCTGAAGCACATAGTCTTAGCAACAAAATGCAGCTCACTAACCGCATATACGAAAAAGGTGGGTTACTTGTAATAAAACAGAAATTAAACCATCTATATCTTATTTACATGCCAAAAGTTGAAACATGCAAATAAAAAGCAGACTAAGTAAGACCGCCATATCCAAGAACCAAAAGGTAGGAAATTTTTTCAAAAGAAGCAGAGCACACTAAGGCCAACAAAGAGATAGTGTCAGCACACTAGGCAGATGGTGAAAATAGGTAAATAATTCAGCTCCAGTTGCTTTGATCACACCAAAAGGTTTTGAGACAGCCACGACTAAAATACTTATGCAGGCCATTAGCCTGAGGTCTAAACTTTTTCCTTTTTTTTATAACCAAGAAATCCCTATGAGTTAGATGGTCCAACCCCAATTGTGTTCACAGGTTCAAAACTCGGAGGAGTACGCACCCACCTCTCTACCCTGCTCCCACTTAAATAGCAAGCTTCATGTCAGTGACTGGGTCTGACCTCATGACATGCGCCAATCCATGCATCCTTGCCTAATTTGCCCTACTTTTGCAGCAGCTAACTAATGGAAAGTGGTGGTAAATTGCTAGTTGGTATTTTAATTCTACCAACAGCAACTCACATTCGAAAACATCTCGTAGATGGCTGAAGTATGGAAAAGGTCTCAAAGACGTGAGCTAATCATCAAGCTCCAGGCTACCAGTATAAGGGGCATAATTCTACACTTGACAACATTTTTGTTAAGATCCCTATTGTTCTTCAGTATTAGAACCGTATGAACATCCCACTTCACCTCCTGGTCACTCTTGTACCAGGAAACTTCCCATGCTAAAGATATCTAGACTGAACCGCATGAACATCCCCATTGCTCATATTAGTACCACAACACCCATCCCCTTTCGACCTTTCTGTTTCTCGTATCTAAAGCTGCTTAAACCAACAAGCAGGAATAACCACACTCTTGAACAGCAAAAATCAATCCGGACCTCTTCCAAAACAGGTGTTATTTTCTGTTCCATCCTTTTCCATTTGACTAAAGACCAGATCTGTGAAAGCCTAATGCAACAAAGTGAAGAAACATTGAAGCACAGGTACCATGATTTTCAAAATCAGACTGAACTTAATCTGTTAAAATTAATACTACTTAGGATCACTGGTAATGAATACAAGATCCGTGTTTGTTCTATATGCACTTCAAGCTATATTCTTATAACTGCATAGTATGTCGCAAATCTAATTATTATATATGTGCTGGTTTTGTTTAAGCATAAACTCTTTCACTAAGAAAGAAAATTTCCCGCCAAAAATAGCAAGATGGAAACAATATCATTCACAAGGAGAAGTTCATCAGTTGATCCTTCAAAAAACACCTCAAACTGTGAATCAATCACATCAGTTTCCATTAATATCTAACCTTTGGACATAACAACCAAGGAACTTCCGTTAGCTGCACCAGCTATTGAGCTGATGTAGTAGTTCTTTTCCCACTGTTCCATTATCCAATCCTGAAAAGAATCCACAACAGAATCACAATTATTTGAGGATATCCCACGAAAAGAAAGAGATAAAGATAATCACTGAATATGATAGAGATAAGGTGATTGAGATGATAACAACCTTATGGAGGAAGACAGCTGAAAGCTCATAAACCTGGGAAGAGAAACCGGTTCCTGCATCCATGATTAAGGCCCACAGATTGGCTGCTGAGGCCACACAGCTGATGTAAAGACCGTCCTCATTTCCTTTATCTACATGCTGCCGGAGCCTAGAGTCTGCTACATTATAGTGGTACCTACAAGATTATCATTAATACTTTTATATCAGCAACTGACATTAATATAGAAATCACATGCATTAAGAAGATAATTTAACATGAATATCCATGCATTTAACACTCAATTCGTCAATAGTTCATGTAAGCAAGAAAGTGAGATAACACTTTTAAGTCCTCATGTAAACCTACCAAGTCAAACAGTTTATACAAGAATGTAGCCCGTCTTACCAGATTCTGTAATACGATCCATTGAAAGATAGAAGGTAGATAAATAGGAATCAAATATTCTCAGAGGTGCACCAAAAAGATTGCATGCAAGTGTATTCACACATTAGATTCCCTTCTCTCCCCTTAAGGGATAAAACAGAGGTAAACATATCAGGCGTGTACCTAAAACATCCATGCAAATGTAACACATTTACATTTCCTACCATTTTTCGAAAGTTAATCCTATGCTTCGATTAACTTAGCCATATCATTTTTCCTGCTCAACACCCAGAAGTTTACTGTCCGTAAATAAGAATAATGTACTCGCGAATTTTCTCACATGAGGCAAAAGGAAGTTCTAAACATTAAGTCATCAAGACTACATAAAATATGAACCGATCAACCTAAGCAAAAGGCATGTATCCAAACAAAACAGAAGGGACACCTGTATTAAAGAGAAAATCAGTTTCACTTCAAACTCGAAGAAAAATAAAGTGACCCCTAACAGAGATGTAGTGACTAATGCATGGAAATGATTCTCAAAGGTTCGCATAGGCCAGATTATCCGAAAACGGCCAACCCAAGAATCATAAAATCAAATACTGTCTTAAATGTTAAATCCTCAAACCAACTTGGATTCCTGCTTTATATACTGTAAACATTAGTAAATCTAATTTTCGTTAGTAAAATTAGTCGTCCTCCTTAATAAAAAACCTAGT